ATAACAACAACAAAGATGGCGCCGCCCTCGCTCGGGCTCAACTATAATAGTTCTCCAAAGAAAGCAAATTTTCAGTGTCTGTTCACATTCTCTATTGTAATATGTTAACAACTAATATAGTTATTATTATAGAAAATTAATTAAGGGAGTGATGGTCTATTATGAATTATGAGGAAATACGTTTTTGAACCACAGACGGCAGCTTAATATTCATCCGCGTAACCGGATCTGTAAAATTTCGTCTGCTATAAAAGTTAGCCCTTTCATTGGTTAGTTTGATAGTCGTGGCTTGCCAGTCGTCTTCAGTTGAACTAAAACTAGGACTTGATTTAGTCGTAGTTAAAACTTCGACTACATTGTTTGTGAATACAAATTGAAGTTAAAGATGCAACTAACACTAAATGAAGTTCTAGTTCGAAGTTCGACTAAAGTTTGTTTTAAGAATACGGGCGTAAAAGGCGTTCGTGGCGAACGCGTGCTGCGTCTCTATAACGTGTGTTCGAGTTCCGAACGCTATTCGATTGTCAATAGAGCGCCCCCTACCTCGTGGTAGTAGTACCCATCATGCCTAAACCTACATCTTGACATTGTCTACGCCCCCGTTGGGGGCAGTAGACAAAACAAAAACGATTTTTATTCCTTTATTAGTGACATCAAAAATGCCCTCTAGAAATAAATATAATCTTTCTAGTTTCCTTTTAAAGAAATGGACTGATATTTCTGCTATGGTGCCACAAACTGACAGCGTAAACGTACGTGAACACGTGGGTGTATTTGCCGTGAAGTCTGTGGGACAAGCGCGCGTGTGATCAGTTGTTATGTTCGACATTTAATTCCAGAAAGGTTCATTATAAAGATTTAACATTAGTCTCTATCGAAATCGTCTGCTTTAGAAGTAAAAATAGTACAGTGGTCCAAAGTGAATGTCACGCGGGTCTCTCGACTTTGATATAAACAAATATTGCACCCGTTAAAAAACTACCAACGTTCCCTGTAATATAGGAATGCCGCTAACACCACGACCTATTTTTATGTAGAGGTCAAAATAATCACGGATTTCTTGTTACTACAATAAATGCATGTTAATGTTTACTGAACTACCATAATAATTTTTATGCGATGATAAAGTTGTACTATAAAAACAATCTGTAACAAACAAGCAGTGCTATACAAAGGGCAATTCCGTACGTACTACGGAAGCCCGTTAGTGCCATCAGTGAATTAAAATTTCAGATCTGTTATCTGGCGGCCGCCACTTAATTATCTAGCATTTATAAGCATCGTAGTAGCTAGTCATTTTAGCTACAGCCTGTAATAGCTTATAATAGCAGTCATATAGCCATTTCACAAAATATATCTATATCTTTGCTGTAGCATAGCAACTGTATTATAATGTTCTATATTTGCTGTTTATATCATTGTGATATTGTCTGTTATAGCTGGATTAAATATTAAAGGACATTAAATAGTGATTAACAGCATAAGTAGCTGGTCACCAGCTATACCTTATAATGGCATATAGCACCCATTTCAAAAAATATTCGCAATCACAGGGTTAAGTATTAAATAGCAATTATAAGCTATTACAAGCTAGTAGCTAAAATGACTAGATAGGCCTACTACGATGCTTATAAATGCTACCGTATTTAATGCTAGGACAAATCATGCGCTTTAATGACCCGTTCTACATCGAGATAATGCTATACCGCAACCTGGGTACCCATAAATAAGTGGCGGCCGCCAGATAATAAGTGGCGACCGCCAGATAATTAAGTGGCGGCCGCCAGATAATTAAGTGGCGGCCGCCAGATAATTATGTGGCGGCCGCCACTTAACGGATCTGAAATTTTAATTCACTGGTGGCACTAGCGGGCTTCCGTAAATCAAATACGTGGCTTCGTATGTAAGCCAACATAATCATGATTAGATAAAATGCCAGAAGCCATTAGTGTTTATCGTGAGGTAAGTGACGTATTTTTTGTTGTTCAAATATTCATGTTTATTGAATAAACCATATCTGTATTATTATTACTTCAAATATGTTGAAAACTAGGCCTAGTGAAGAACAGTAATCCATGGATTTTTTTAATGAATTCACAGGCTTTAAAGCTGTTCTCCGAACACGTTTAGCACTAAGTCTACTATAGGCCTATTAGTGTAAATAGGACGTGGTGGGGTATGTTTGTAGATTACTTTGTATTTTATAACATATTTAACAGAATAAACTTCTCATAATTATTAAAATATTTACATTTTGGTCCGAGAAAAGAAGATAAGTAAGAGCACAAAGTGGATAACTTATGCTTGCTTTAACTCCTTTGTATTCTTTAATTAGATTTAGTTTGCAGACGAGTTCCTTGTCATGGCGTCTCCAAACGTTTCTAAAGAGGTGATCGATGGTATTGAAGCTGTAGCCCTTGAATGTTCCTTGTGCATGGAACGTTTCAAAAACCCGAAATCACTCCCGTGTATTCATTCGTTCTGTCTTGGATGTCTTGAGAAGTGGGTGAAAGAAAGCAACGGAAGACGTTTTAGCTGTCCAATATGTCGTGAGGTTTGTCAAGTTCCAAGGGGTGGTCTTCAAGATTTAAAGAACAACAGTTTTATCATCGGATTGTTGGATTATGTGACAAAATTGGAGGATAAATCGGATCCCCCCTGTGGTTGTAAGAGGGAGGCAGCATTCGTGTGTCAAGACTGCGATGAGCTGTACTGTCAAGATTGTAAAGATACTCACTGCAGAATGAAGATTGCAAAAGATCATTCTATAATTACCATAAAAGAATACAACAGTCGTGACCCTGCGGAACGTTTTGCATCAAAACATCTTAACTGTTCCGAACATAAAATGCCACTGCAGTTCTTCTGTGAAACGGACAAGATACCAATATGTGTCGGATGTATACAGGTTCAACATCCCAAGGGGGAATCCCATAAAATTATTGATATAAAGGATGCGTTTGAATCCTTCTCAAACCATGCATCACAGCTCATCAAGATATCAGATAAGAAGTGTCTTGGTTTAGATCAAATGCTTAACGAACTTAAAGAAAAAGAATCTGAGATGAATTCAAATTTCACAAAGTGTGAAGCAGACATCGCAAAACAAGCGGCCGAGCTACATCAATTGATCGATCGACATAAGGAAGAACAACTTCAGAATCTTAAAAAATGTCATAAACAAAATTGGAAGACACTGGAAACTCAAGCCAGTGAGATGGAACTGACAAGGTCTAAACTATCTACTGTGCGTGAAATTACGTACAACCTGACTAAGAGTCCAAATCAGACACTGGCGCTAATGTCAAGCCATGCTGCTTCAGAACAACTAGAGAAACTACTAAATAGCGCATATAGTAGTACAAAACGTATTGGTGTTGAGGTTCAGACAAATAAAGGTATCTTAGGGTACAATCCAAACCGTAGATCAACCCGAATTCTGGCTAGCAATGTGGTAGACAGGCTGCGTAGACAGGAGACTCGCATTTCACCTAGTAAATCAACTGTTACATTTACCTTACCAAGGTCCATGCTTTCATTTTTAGTAAATAAAGATCAAGATATTATTATAAATGTAATAACTCGAAATTCACTAGGTGAAACTGTGTATGTCGAAGATGCAGAAGTCAAATGTTTAGGAATATTTCTAACTGCAATAGATCGTTGCAATATGTTAATGAAAGAGATTAGTGTTACCGACAAACATAATGGTTGTTATGAAATATGTGGCAACATTCCTCTTCAGCGAACTACATTTATTTGTCTCATTATTGACAGATCTGATGTTTATGTCAACACAATATTTTTTGATAATGAGAAAAGAAATAGTAAGAACACGCGCCACTTTGAATATCTCTTAAATTCGTAAGGTTTCCGTCAAATCTTATACCACAATAGAAAATTATATTCATTAGGAAGCCAATCGTTATGATAATTTTATATGTACATACATTATTATTAATATCGGTAATATCATAATCGTCTTTATTATTTTATTTATTATTATTATTATTATTATTATTATTATTATTATTATTGTTATTATTATTATTATTATTATTAGTAGTAGTAGTAGTAGTAGTAGTAATAGTAGTAGTAGTAGTAGTAGTAGTAGTAGTAGTAGTAGTAGTAGTAGTAGTAGTAGTAGTAGTAGTAGTAGTAGTAGTAGTAGTAGTAGTAGTAGTAGTAGTAGTAGTAGTAGTAGTAGTATTTAGTGTAATTTGGAGAGCTCATATATTTTTATGTTCTTGTTTCTTGCTGTTTTGGTTCTTTTAGATTTCATTATTTTTTAGACGAATATATAGTAAGAAAAATGATATGAGATTGTGTTTTGAAGTAATTGCATTTAAATTAATTTTAATAAATTGATAATCGCTTGCTGTGATGTAAAAGTGTACTTTTGTGTCAAATAAATTTTACAGTTAAAAAAAAAAAATGATAACCGTTCTGTGTTTCTTTATAGGCTTACATATTCTGTAAATGATCAGTACATATAAGTATGGACTAAAGCGTGCGTATATTGTAACTGTTAACGTACCTAAAAGCTTGCACGCATTGTCAACAGGACAGTAAATTAATTGTCATACAAAATCAAATATCAGTCACAACAAAACTTAATTATGACGTAACTGTGTTAAATCATATGTACGGTACATTATTAATTGATACTGGAGCTCGGTTTCCATAAAATCGCTACGCGCTATCGCCGACTCCTGACGCTGATTGGTTAATTGAATCAGGGAACGTTCCTGATTGCGTCGGGGACAGCTACACAGTGCAAGGATTGCAGTGAAAACGCTATAGCGACTGTGTGGCGATTGTATGGGAACCGAGCTTTATGTAGATGTGTGTCAAGTCATTACGAGAGGTAATAAAGAATAGTCCTAAAGCCCAGTGGAGAAATGCGGCTACCGGGCAGAGTTATGAGCTTTTTGGCTAACAATGACTTGGTACAGCAATTGTTACTGCATACGTGTGATTGATACTTTACAAGATAGTGGCGAATCCAGGAATTTGAAATAGAGGTGGGGGGGGGGGCATGAGAGGGACTTTTACAGATTGAGAGTCTATACTACCTTAGCCACACCATGGTTGTGGTGAGGTAAGAAAATGTATGATTATGGCACCCTCTAGATGGCCGGAATTGGCACTCTTTAGACTCAAAATTTTAGTTAAATTTTCTTTTTTTCTCATTTTTTTTTATTTAAAAAAAAATATAAAGAGTGGGGAGGGGCGGGCCAGCCGGCCCTCCTTTGAATCCGCCACTGCAAAATAATGAATATTAAAGCTGAAAAACTGCACTGTAGGCAATGTCAATACTGCAACCCCCCCCCCCCCCCCCCTTCCTTCGTTAGTTAGCGCTGCCCCGTAATCCAGAGCTCCCCCGTCGTGGAGAAACACGGTTTGTCGGGATGAAAAAATATATATGTCAAAAGGACCTTTTGCGAAAGATTAAAATATACGCTCTCCATCAGCGACACTAATCCTGGCATGTCCCCTGATAGAATTTATAAGTGACATAAACCAATAAAAAAACAGTAAAATAAGAGACAGATAGCGCTTTCGGTTAAAATTTTGTTAGTGATACATGGGGTTTATGGTGTTTTGGATTAAAAAATATATACATAAACATGTAACGCAAGAGAACTTTGGTCTCCATATCTTAAAGTCAAACAGAACCTAGATCTCATAAATAGTGCTTAATTGCCTTTTAACAAATCACAAATTACAAAAAAATCGCTAATGTTATTTATTTGCGAGAAATTAATATACGCTATTGTGTGGTATATCGGCCCCCTACAGAGACTTTAAACTAATTATGGCACGTCGCCTGATCGAATCTCTTATGAATGTCATAAATTCATGAAAAACAGTAAAAATAGAAGATAAATGGCGCTTTACTGATTAACAGATTTTATTGATACATGAGTTTTATAGTGTTTTGGCTTTAACATTATGTACATTAGCATGCAAAACAAGACTTTATTGTCCTCTTATTTTCATAAAGTGAAAAAGCGCCTAAATCCCATAAAGAGTGCTAATTTCCCTTTATCAAATATTGCAATTATAAATCGCTAAATGTTATTCGACATTCATTCCCATAAAAATGCACTTTTACACATTAACTATTTACATTTTCTGCATAATTATGGAGTCTTGAGCATCATGAAATAATTATCGGAGTCTTGTTACTGTACTAAATGCATGTTTATGTTTATTGAACCTCCACAATGCTTTATTTAATGATAAAATTATATTATAAACAACTTTAACAAAAACAATTATGCTATACAAGGAGTAATTAAATTTATGGGTTCGTGTAAGCCAACAAAATTATAGATATATAAAAGGCAGTAGGTACGCAATCGCTGACCAAATAAATAGACCTTGTATCTGTTCTAGAAAATCAGAAGCCGCTGGTATGTCTTTCGTGAGGTAAGTGACGCATTTCAGGTAGTTAAAAATATTCATGTTGTTTATTAATAAGCCGTAAATTGTTATTCTTATTACATGTTCATGAATAATTAGTTTTTGAAAATTAGTTAGTAGTATATCTAGTGGAATAATAAACCATGGAATTGTATTTTATTGCTTGGAATCTTTTACTTCGATGTCTCTCGTTTTAATTTTTGACGTTTATATTTTTTAACATTAGGTACTTTTACAATTGTTTACAATGATCCTTATATCTTTTTTAACATAGAATATTATAACTATCTCGTGTTTTACTTAATATTTTAATATACAGTATTTTAAATTGTACTTGCCAATGAGTGTATTAAAAAAAATCCATTTATATATATATATATATATACGTTTACTTTTTAGCTGTTGCTTATCATTTTTGTATCTCTACTGAGATCCAGCCATTGTTTCCCACAGCATTGTTGTTTTCCAGTATTTTGCCTTTTA